TAAAGTATTCGACGAGTTCCACATATTGAACGGTTCGGATTATCGAAACGGGACCCGTGGTGAGCCCTCATGGGTCCACAATACGCTCCAATCTAATTATAGACAGGAGAGAAACCTAACCTTTTTATTTTTATTTTTATAACCAAATGTCTAAACCAGCTTATACGGATCTCAATTGATTCTGATAGACCAACTTGTGAGTATTGAACTTAACACCTGAAAAGATCACACTCGGAACTCCAAGTTGTGCAAATTAATAATAGATCATTAATGTGATTTGCAACATCTCCAATATCGGGGTCATTTTGATCATCATTGTCTTCGTCTTCCTTTTCGTCATATTCATTTTTATTTTTTTGTATTTTTGGTAAAAATAATGTAAAATTTAAAGCACTCATAGTTTTATTTTTGTATGAAAAAGGATTTACAAAAACTTAAAGAAACATTAGGGTTGTTTTCATAGGCTTTTAGAAGTTTGGCATTCCTAAAAAAATTCAAAAAGTCAAAAAGTCACTATCCTATTTGAGTCACATCATCTTATTTAAGTCATATCACTTCAAACCTAACCCATATCCAACCCATATTTCATAAAATGTTAAAAAGTATACTTAACTATTTTGAAGGCCAAACTGAATGTATATATCATTTTGTCTTTAATGTTCTAAGATATATAGCACGTGACTTTTATTTATTTGATCCATCAAATAAATTAAAAAACACACACACATACAAGACTTCAAAATTTTTTTTTTTTATATAAAAAATTATGATTTGAGCATGTCAAGCATTGTCTACTTTATATTTAAGTCTAGAGAAATTACAAGTTTTACAATCAACCTTTGAGTCACCAAACCATGTCTACATAAAACATATTCATAATAATCTATACAATTATCAGTCCAAACCATATAAACAATAGTCTTATGTTTTTGTTTTTCTTTTTAAATGATAACAATCGTATGGGAAATAAATTAAATCAAGGGGACTTACCTATAGGTTTTAATAAGTGAATTTATTATTTAATAAGTCTTATGATAATTAATGGTATTTTTCATTAAATACTATTAAAAAACGTTAGTAATTATTAATTTTCAGCAATAGTTTAAAAATTGTCACAAAAGATGTTATTAATTATAAGTTTTAACAACAATTTAAAAAAATCGCCGCAAAAAAACTTTACTAATTTTCAACTTTCACTATAAAAAATTAAGGTTTTAGAGACCAAAATTTAGTGACAAAATTATTTTTTAAGAACCAAATATTTTTGTTACGAAAAGTGTCGTTATTATATTTTTAGCAACGAAAATTAGACATTAGTGATGAATTATTATCTTTTTATGACCAAATTTTTTGTCTCAAAAAATAAATCATTTTGAGATCAAATTATTTTGTCTCTAAAAGTGTATTTATTAGTGACATTTTCAAAATTTTGTCGCTAAAAGTCTTATTTTTTACTTTTCGGGAAGACTTTTTAGTGACTATCCTCACGACGATGTAAATTGATCCCTAAATGTCTTTTGCAACAAAATTTTCACTTTTAGAGACCAAAAAATTTGGGACAATTTACAAAAATCGTGACAAAAAAGTTACTAATTATTAATTTTTAGTAACATGCAAAAAATCGTTAACAAAAATTATTCAACGATAGTAACGATATAGTGCTGTGTTTGGCAACTTGCAAAAAAAGTTGTGTTTTGTAGTTGTTCCCAAAAAAGCCAAAATAATTTTTACCATTAAAATCATTTGGGAAGGTAAAAAAAAGCTACTTGTAAAATTACAACTATACCATTCATGGATCAAAATGAGCCACATAGGTAAAATTGTAAATTTTTTAAATTAGGTGGTGATAGTTTGATCATTTTATTGTAATTTAATATTATAAATAAATATTAATCAAAAAAGTCAAAAATAACTTTTTATTAATTTCTCAAATTACTTTTTAAAAATTCCAAAAAATTTAATTAAAAATCAAAAGTCAATTTTTAACTATCTCCTAAAAAAAAACACCATAATAGTAAATGGTATCACAGCGTTGTAGGGAGGAACACCCAGTTTGGTTGATGATCAAAATTACCAGTATACCTATATACTGTTAATAAATCACAAATTAATAATTACAGTGAATATTATTGTCAACTCTCAATTTGACTTTTGCACGAACTACTGTTTCAATCACTACGTATATCACCATCATCATAATATATAACTGTATATAGCAAGTTGATGATGATGATGATGTTATACCTGAACTGTGATGATTTGAGAGTGATGGGTATTGTAGATAATCATGACAACAAAAATGCTGCACCGCTGCCACTCGACTTTGTAAACATAATCACCGACAAAATAATTATGTGATGTTTTGAAAAGCAACAATGATTCATCCCACTAAAAACATCACCACTAATAGCACTAATGCATTAAAAAAATAAAAAAATAATAAAAAAAATACAACTCCAAGACCAAAACATCACATCATTAATGGCGAGACCCACTGCCACCTAATTAGTGGGAGCACTAATTAGTGCTCCCAAGCATTTTTCTTTGAAAAGTTAGTAAAAAATTAATTTTTTAATTTTTAATTTTTAATTTTTTTTAGTAATTTTTTTGACAAAAATTTGAATTGTTTTAGGTAAAAAAATTAATTTTTTTAACTAAAAAAATTAAAAAATTAAGAAATTGACTTTTTTAATGTGTTCCAAGAGACTGCTATACATTGAATAATATTATATGTTACAATTAATTAAATTTAATGACATTCAAATACGGCTGATTAATATTTAATAAATTTTATATGTCATATCAAATAATAAATAAAATATAGTAAAAATAATAATAAACACATTGAAAAATATATAGAAATGTATCAATAAAAATGATTTAGGGGTTGTTTAGGGTGTCCTAAATAAGTGTACTTTTTGTCTTTTTGAAATAAAAAGTTAAAAAAAATATGGATGTTTGGGTTAACTTTTTGACTTTTTATGAAAAAATATGTATTAAAAAATTATATAAATAAGTGTGTAGGAGAAGATAGTGAAGTAGGCCGTACGGGTTGGGCAGTGCAGTTGGTTGGGTAGGAGATTGGAAAAGATTGCCTTCTTTTCAAGCTTTAAAACAGATTTGATCATGTAGTTAGCGATATCCAATAGACGTGATTTTTTACGCGCATATAGTATTAGATGAGTTCTACATATTAAACGGTTCGAATTATCAAAACAGACCCATGGTGGGCCCTCATGAGCCCGACTTTACCATCCAACTTAGTGAATATACACATGTAATTTTTTTTTCTTTCACTGCCTTTGGTTTGATGTCAGCCCCTAGAGTGGCGTGAAGTTGATTTATATTTTAATATTATATATATTAATTTTTTTATATTTTTTTTGGTGAATAGTGATAACTTTTTAAATTTTTTAGTAACTTTTTATTTTTTGATTTTTTTTTAAAATTCCCAAACCAGCCCTTAGATTCATTTTGATAACACATTAATTTGGCCTAATTTGAGGACTTGACGAAAAGTTAATTTTTAGCTTTTAATCTGTTTTAGGTCTTGTTTGGGATAAACTAAAAAAGTCTAAAAAACACTCAAAAAGTCTATACTATTTAAGGTTAGCTTGTGGGGGAAGCCTCAAGGGTAAAATTATTATTTTGCATTTTGAATTCAACTATTCAAAAAGTCAAAAAGTTAAAAGTCAAAAAGTCAAAAGGGTAAAATGGTCATTTTGATTTTACTACAATATTTTATTACATATTTTTTCGTAAAAAGTTAAAAAATTATCTCAAACATACATATTTTTTTTCTCTACTTTTTTAATTAAAATGTCAAAAAGTACACTTACATAGCACATTCCAAACAACTTCATAGATCACATCACCTCTCTATTTTTTTACATGTTTTTTTTAATTTTTTTTTAAAAAAATTAACTTTTAATCAACTTTCCAAAATAATCATTTATTTGTATACTTTTCTTTACGCATGGCATTTGTTTTTATTCTTTTTATACCAAAAATAAATTGTATTCTTTTTATATCAAAAATAAATTGTATGCAAGATTCTTTGGATCTAGATAAGAGTGCAAACTCGAAATATGTGTGATAACACTACAACAAAATTGAATTTTTACGTCTTGCGATGCATGCTGTAAAAACTCTTTCACGGCATGCACACAAATGTCGTTATATGACATGCCGTGGAAAGTTGATTATCATTTACGGCATGCAGGTAAAGTTGTAAAAAGTAATAAATTAAACATTAATGACATACTTTGTATGTCGTATATAACTTTTTATGACATTTTTGTCATGTCATAAATCATCATACTTTCCGTGGCATAATTTTGCATGCCGTAGAAAGTTATTTTTAATATATTTATGGCATACTTTGTATGCCGTATATAATATTTTACGACATTTTTTTGTATGTCATAATTCAACACACTTTTCACGACATAATTTTATATGCCGCAGAAGGTCATTTTTAATATATTTATGACATACTTTGTATGCCGTATATAATCTTTTACGACATTTTCTTACACACCATAAATTATTACACTTTTCACGGCATAATTTTGCATGCCGTAGAAAGTTATTTTTAATATATATATACACACGAACAAGAACATAACCTTCCCTAACCGTATGCACATCCAAACAAAGGCCTGCTTATAAAGTGCGGCAACTTGTGAACAAACCAAGTAGTAGCTTATAAACTTAAAGCCCTAAATCTCTAAGGCATAGGCATTTTTTGGTAACACTGTTAGAAATATTTCAATTAAATTTGGCTCTTAACCAAGTTAGCTAGACTCATGCAATGAAAAATATGTTAGTATTTTCACTTCCATCATCTAATCTAACCTACATACAGATACACCTCTAAAATACTGCGCTTCCCCTACAAGATAAATGTGTCAGTATACTTAACTAAGCAAGAACATGTAAATTTTAACAAAAGAAAAATCAAACCAAATTTACTGCTGAATTTTTCACTAGGATTAAAATTTCAATATTGGCAAATCCTCTTTATTTTATATCTCAGCATCACTGTCAACAAACATACACCAGTTTTGTCATGAAACTAGAATTATGTACATCTATGAAGATCCAACATAAATTTGAAAAAAAAAAAAAAACGAAGAGGTAACCTAGTGTCCCAAATATGTCCCCTACCTTTTGGAAGCTTGCAAAGATGGCACCATTATTCTCTGAAGCAGTGAGTTCCTGCTCAACCTTTTTAAGACCTTCACTCACAGCTTGCATTTCTTCAGCTAAAGACTTTAATTGGATCTGGCCATTTGATATGCAGATGGAACAAGCAATAAATTGTACAAATCTACTAGAGACACCTCACTCACATATTACATTAAGAAAAATGCAAACCTTAGAGGCTGCTTCCAAATGAACGAGATCCTTATCAAAATCCAGCAACTCTGGCATCTTCTTGGCAATGAGCTAATGAAGACAGGAAAGCAATTGACATACTTGGCATCTTCTCGGCAATGAGCTAGTTTCAGCAGTGTTATTTATCTTTACTATCCCAGTAGAGGATTTCATTCAATGTTTCAGCTTCAAAGATAAAAAAAAAAAAAAAAATAAGGTATTTAAATAGATTTGGTTTTCAAATCTACAACTTTTCAAATCTACAGCTTAGATATACAAATGTTACTTTTATTTTGCCATTGCTATGTCTATGTAAATATATAGAAAAGATGAGCTGCTGAGATTGCCGATGGAGGTGAAGTCTGATGATGATCTAGCAGCAGCTGTTAATGGAAGGCCAGTCTACTGCAGAGATAGGTTTTATCATCCATTAGCAGGAGGCCAATTCTCAACTGAATATAAACCCTAAACCCTAGTTCGTTCCATTTTTCTTAGATGATTCAACCATAAGGTGAACAAGTTGTTCTAGAAATTTTAGAGTGAATCCCCTATAGTTCTACTCTACATCAGAGAGAAGTAAAATAACTTAACATTCAGGTCAGCTCCATTTAGAAAACCAGAAACCCACAGACTCAGATTCTAGGAACCTTGTGGCAAATCAAGTTATGAAAGTATTATCATCAGAAATAAAGAGGAACATTAACCCACGCATGCAAGGCTACAGGTCCGAGCAAAAAGAGTGGTAGTGTGCATTCATAAGCTTATTTCACAAGAAAACAATAGAGGCAACTGATATCCGTAGACAATATACAAACGTGTTTTAAAGTATACAGCACAGGTTTTTATAAACAGCATTGAAATAAGTACCTGAAATTGCCTTAGTTTGTGCAGCAACAACATCCATGGTAGATCCTAATTCTCGCTGCTCAAGAGTCTCTCCAATACAAGCAATTACCTTCAAACCTTGAGAAAGAGCATATGCAACCTTATCTCCAACAAACTAAAATAAAAATGTCCCAAGTTATGAACATGTGAAATAATAATCAACAACACAGTTGGCATCATCATAAACGAATAATCGTTGCACCATGAATGAAACAGTGGTTACCTCATTTGATTCATTTAACAGAGCCCTCATCTCAGAATGACCAAGAATGACCCAAGGAATGCCCATATTGACGAGCATCTCTGCACTGCACATTCAAAAGAATCAATTTAAATTTTTTGCATTGAAGAAATTTGAAGCACATGATAGATGCTCAGAAATTTGAAGCACATTATGAAAATGGATAGCTGTAGAAAAAGTTATAATAACTCTAAAGAAGACTAAACTAGGAAATGGGATGCTGAAGTAAATTCATAAAATTAAAATCAGAAATATATGAAACCATTTCTCGATAGAAGGATCATTGTGGGACTAGTAGTGCATGAGGAAATACCTCATCTTTTAAATTGGGACATGATACGCAAATAATACGTGTTGATTACTTATCCTTGAGCCATAACACAAGGAAACCTCCTACAACTTTCCAAATGGCAATTCTAAAGGAGCAACTGAATGCCTTTAATTAATTCAACTCCTGCCAATGCAATACAGATTATTAAGAGCATAATGAACCATACCTAACCTCACCAGTGAAAGCACCTCCCTTTTTGACCCAACAATTTTGAGCAGCAATGTGAAAATCAGGCCTCAACAAATCTTTTACCAATGGTAGGAACACATACGGGCTCACAACCACCTCTGTGAAAAAAAAAAAAAAACCCATCAAACATCAATAATTTGAAGAACCAAAAGACAACATCAAATACTTCGAATTTGTACTTAAATACCAATCAATTTATTCTTGCCTACGAAAATTAATAGGATAGAAACTACGGAAGCAAAAATAGAAAGTTCTCCGAAATCCTAATTTTAGCCTCTAAACAATCCTAGTTCAAAATGATAGCCAAAGGATAAAATAAAAAATATGATTGCTGCTTCTATGTGAGATTTCCCATATTCTGAGACCAACACAACATATGACAGAAACATTCTTAAAACTTTGACCCTTAATTTTCTGCAAGATAGTTTAATGAAGTTTTATGTGCAAATCACCAGTGGTGTACTTAATAAAAATAATAACAGGAGAAAGCATATAAATTAGAATAGAAGCACACCAATTTAGCTGTAAGTTTCCTTCTGCATTTACTTACCCACAACATTCTGAGAAGGCACTTCACTAGCATTAAGGACAGAAACTATATTCTTCACCTCTTCTAAGGTTCCATTCTACATAAACATTCAATTCAAATCATGAATTAGTTTCATCCTCTAATCATAATTCATAACCAAGCAATCAAAAAGTCAATGAGTAATCAAATAATACTGATTATCTCCGTCTTTTTTTTTTTTTTTTTTTTGATAAGTAACTGCCAGTCAATACATTGTACCACATATTAAATAATTAAACAAAACATAACAAAATTTCCAATCAACAGAATAACACTACAACAAAAGTAACCTATAGTGACGAAAACTAGTGAAGAAAATAAAATTCGTCACTAAAGAAAAATAATTCGTGAGGAATTTATAAATTTTGTCACATATAATAAAAAAATAAAAATGATAGGTGACAAAATTTATTTTTGTCAATAAATACTTCATTTTAAGTGAGGAAAAGTTAAGTTTCGTCACCAAAAATTTTTCCGCTAATTTTTTTGGGTGGCGCCAAAATTTTGGGACTTTTGGTGAGAAAAAAATTTGTCACTAATTATAAAATTATTTGTGAGGAATATATTTTCGTCACCAAAACGTTTTAATATTTTGATATCTTTTGGTGAGGAAATAATATTGTCACCAATTTTGGTGGGAAATTTTTGATGTATTAAGCGGCAATAAAAAAAAATAGGGTATTAATTTTTTTTACCCTTTTTCTATTTATCATCTATCTCTCTCTCTCTCTCTCTCTCTCTCTCTCTCAAAATAGGGTATTAATTTGTCTTACCTCTTGCTCCTCCACCACGCCGATCGCCATCGTCATCGCCTCTATTAGCCTTACCGATCGTCGCCGCCACTAGTAGCCTTGCTGGTAACCGCCACATCTTCATCGCTCGGTGATTTGGTACGTGATTTCTCTATGCTCTTTTTCTGGTGTCTCTTTCTCTTATTCTCTGTTTTGGTATGGTGAAGAAAATTAGTGAAGAAAACAAATTTCGTTACTAAATAAGAATAATCCACGAGGAATTATGAATTTTGTCACGTATAATAAAAAAATAAAAATAATAGGTGACGAAATTTATTTCCGTCAATAAATACTTACTTTTAGGTGAGAAAAAAATTAAGGTTCGTCACCTAAATTTTTCCCACTAATTTTTTTTTTATGGTGCCAAAATTTTGAAACTTTTGGTGAGAAAAAAAATCGTCACAAATTATAAAATTATTAGCGAGGAATATATTTTTGTCACTAATTTTTTTTTTTTTAAGAAACTTGATTTTAAATATTTTAAATATTTTTAATGAGAAAATTATTTTATCCCTAATTTTGGATGAAAAATTTTGATATATTGAGCGGTAATGAAAAATAGACTACAAATTTTTTTTCCCTTTTTTTTGTTTTTGTTTTTGTTTTTTTTGGGTTGTGTTGATCAATTTTCTCTCATCTCTCTCTCTCTCTCTCTCTCTCTCTCTCTCTCTGTCAAAACAAAACACAAGTTGGGTCTCTTCGTTTAGCACCCCTTGTCCTCCTTCAGCGTGTTCTCCTCTAGCACCGCCGCCGACGTCGCTCGTTCTCCTCCTTCAGTGTCGTTGCTAACGTTGCATCTCCAAGCCCGTCCGCCCTTTTCCTTCTGTGTCACATGTTCTCTTCCATTAGCTCTTCTTATTATTTGATTTCTCTAATTGTTTATTTTCAGGTATGGGTCTTCTCTGTATCTCTCTTACTCAATTTCTCTATTTTTTTTAATCTTTGTTTTCCTTAATTTTCAGAATTAATGTTTTTCCTAATTTTTGAAACTAATGAGACACGCAGTGTACACATGATTTAGAATTATCTATTAGAAAGTTCGTTAATTTGTCTCGTCTAGTTTCTCCCACTACTAGAAAAATGACTTTTTACTACAATATAATTTGCGACCACCATATTAGCAGTCACAAATAGTCAATTTATTCCGTATTTTCCTTTATTTATTTTCCCCTCTTCCTTGCATTTGCCCTAGTCCTTCACAAACATTGATCGTTCTCTCTCTCTCTCTCTCTCTCTCTCTCTCTCTCTCTCTCTCTCTCTTTACCTCTTGCTCCTCCACCACGCCGATCGCCATCGTCATCGCCTCTATTAGCCTTACCGATCGTCGCCGCCACTAGTAGCTTTGCTGGTAACCGCCACATCTTCTTCGCTCGGTGATTTGGTACGTGATTTCTCTATGCTCTTTTTCTGATGTCTCTTTCTCTTATTCTCTGTTTTGGTATGGTGAAGAAAATTAGTGAAGAAAACAAATTTCGTTACTAAATAAGAATAATCCACGAGGAATTATAAATTTTGTCACGTATAATAAAAAAATAAAAATAATAGGTGACGAAATTTATTTCCGTCAATAAATACTTACTTTTAGGTGAGAAAAAATTTACTTCAAATCTCTAATCTCGAAATGTGTGTTAAGCATTGAGTCACTGTTGATTTTAAGTAGATGAATTTGGGGATTTTTCAGTGTATTACAAATCGATAGAAGATGGAGTAATAGTAGAGCGAGTTGAGGTTTGATGAAGATTAGAGATCGAGAAGTTGGATACTCAGTGGTTCACTACGAAGAAGTCGTCTCCTGATTCGAAGCAAAAGCGATGTTCGTTTTGCCGAAAAAATTGTTCCAGTATTTTAATTCTATTTCAATTCTCAATTTAATTTTTCAATTTCTTCTTTATCTCATTGTTTTGATTGATTGATCCATGATTTTTCCAATTTTCTTGCTGATATATCTATACAAGTATATGTAGACATATGTTTTTTTTTTTTTCATTGAATAAAGGGCCATCTATGGTAGCTTGACAGTACAGTTAGCTTACATGTTTAACAAGCCTGTTGATTTCCGTTTGTTCAGTTTGACACAATGATCAGTAATAGTTCCAAACCATAGGTGAAATCAGTAATTTACATCTTTTGATGGTACAGTAGCTCGTGTAGTCTTAGTGTTGGGGGATTATTTGAAGGATGAACCATGGTTAAAGCTCCTCTGCAACTACCTGAAGTATGAACTATTTTATTTGTAATTTTTATTTTCATGTTGCCACAAATCACGACATGTTTCATTTAAAATATTATAGGTCAAATCAATTTATATGTTTGAATATTGAATTTGATTGATGAATTTAGTAGTTATTCATGACCTGCTGAATGATTTGAATGTGCGAAAGCTTAGGCCATTTCGAGATTAGGATTGATTACTATGGAATAGTGAAGATATGGATGATAAACGGATTGTGTCTGGATTAAGATGAAAGCAGTGTTGGAATGTAGTGACTACAAGCTGATTATCCAAATGATGAAGCTGGATAATCACAGGGATAGTGATACTCGAGAAACTTGTACTCTATTTGGCAAGAAAATCTTAGTTTTAAGTTGTTCACGTAAAAATTGATTGTTTTTAAAGTGTTTTGAGTAATTTAATTTCTGACTGAACAGTTATGATTTGTGATTGTAATGACCTTTGAACTTGTTATCTCTTTGAAGTGTTAATGAAATACTGAAGTAAATATTTGTTCAAAAAAAAAAAAAAAGATATACTGAAGTAAATACAAAATGCTTCACACTTATATATAAATTGCTTAGGGAGGAACTTACAATGGATGCTTATACATTTAATTTCTTAGGGAGAATTACTATGGATGTTGAAGGTTTGTTTTGCTTTGGCTACTTGAACAAATATTAATTTTTTGGCATTCAATACAGCCAACAATATGCTGAAATTTTTAAATATTTTTATTTTACTTTATTGAATATAAGGACTAAAATTTCATAGTCAGACCTTGCAGATGACATAATCATTAAATAATGTACAAAATGCATCTAGTGGCCCTGTCCATGTGGTGCAACTAGCGATAATTTGCTGAGCATTTTTTATCTATTTTCCTTGCACATTTTTCAAGGCTCTATGGTAAGAAGACATTGCAGTCTTGTAAAAATGTTTAATGGAGAAAAGTGTATTCAGCATGCGTTTTATTGACAAAATTTTGCAACAATCATTCCCAATCGTCAATAGCTATTTGTCTGGCCATTTTTTTTCTTCAAACGTTACAAACTTGGTAAAATATGAACTTTTTTGAGGTTTTGGCTAAGGGCATGAATTCATACAATTCTTAGAAGTTTGTTAGGTTAACGTGCCTTGTCAACTTGAAATTGGAGCATCTGTTTGCTTTTATGGTTAATCTTGTAAAATACTTGGTTCAATTTAATAATGATAATGATCATTGGTCGTGAATGTATCTTTTGTTAGACCTTATGTATGATTTCCAGCTTTTGCTTGAAACTAGATGTTGTAGTCTTTTAGTCAATCCGGTACTGGTGGTTGGGATCCTCTAAATTAGTCCGTCATGGCAAGGAATTATTTTCCTTTCAATCTGACATGGCATAGAATTAGTGAAAAATCAGAATTTGCACAGCTAAACCTAAACTTTTGTTTTGGGATCATACGGCTAACATCTCATTCTAGTTTTCATGGTTTCTGTTAGGCACCCTACATCGCTCTCTTGGTGTTGGGAAACAAACTTAAAGATGAGAAACAGTATTCAATCTGAAATGTTAATACTTTTTTTTCAAAAAAAAAAGAAAAGAGAAAGTAAATAAATAAATAATCAAGAAGAGACAGTTGACAGGTTTTTCTAATACGATCTATTTCACTATCAGGAAGCTAGACGAGCATCAGAGAAAGTGTATGACGTGGCGAAAGTGGACGAAAGAGTGAACAGAGCAGTGGCAGCGGCTAACAGGGCAGCAAATGCAGCTAGAGTAGCGGTGGTAAAGGCGGTCCAAAAACAAATTCAATACAATGGTAACAACGACAACATTCCTATGCCTTTTATGCGAGACTGGTAATCCAACTCTAATATCACTGAAATCATCAATCAGGCTTCTACTACATGAGATGGCTGCTAGAGGAAGTTGCATTTTGTGATTTTCCTTCTAGCATGCCTACATTTTTCGTTGCGATTTCCTTTCCCTTCCTTTCCTTTCCTCGAGAGTATTATGTAATATGAGGCCTTTTCCAGTAGGAGGAAAGGGTTGAACTAATGAGTATTAGCATAATTCAATATGCTGAAATTTTTAAATATTTTTATTTTACTTTATTGAATATAAGGTCTAAAATTTCATAGTCAGACATTGTAGATGACATAATCGTTAAATAATGTACCATGGGATTGATAGTCCTACAAATAGGGTGATTACTAGTCGAAGAGAATAGTTAATCCCCTCACTCATATTCCCAACCAGACACTTATAAGTAGGTCTTACAGACTGTTAATCAAATCTCCCTCTTCAAAGAACCCAACAAACATGCCTTACCAGAGCAATGGCCCTGCCAAATCCAACGAGGCAGCTCAATGGATGGAATTGACATTGTGCAACCAATCCACCCAAAACTATCAAATGGTAACTCATAACAAGTACTAGATAGAGAATCTTTACAAAAAGTTAGTTATCTGACAAAATATATTGAATTTCTTCATATTGAATTTTAAGGCTCTGTAGTACCCTGAGCAAAACGGATGGACCTAATTCATCAACATCTTGTACATGTTACACCACTCTGCTGGCAGCAACCCACTTGAATTACATGGAACTATCTATAACATAGTTTGTATAGATTGAAGTTTTCGTTGCTACCGTCAATTGTTTGAAGATCAATTGAAGGCCCTTAATCCAAAGGTTAGTCTCTTGATGTACAACTTATTGATTCAGAATAATGACTATATAATGTATTTCCCTGATACCATATGTTACATTACAGTATTTATCTATCAGAGCTCAAGAAGTGAGCCCATCACTTAAAATCATTATTGTTCTATTGGATGTTAAATTACTAAAAGTTTGTGATTTTGTCTCATTATTTAAATGTATAGGATTTGTCATGGAGTTTTGAATCCTGTGTTTTCAAATCTTGTAATTTCTTGAATATCTTATTTCACTTGGGATTCCTAAAACAATGATTTTAAAGTTAAATATCTTCATGGAAACTTTTATACTTAAATTTGTTGTTGTCACATCATGCTTTTTTACAAGGGAATGATTAACAATGCTGGAAAAACAAAATTTATTTCCATTTTCAAGTGCTTTTCAAATTTTAAGCAGTACAATTTTGCTTCTTCATGTAGTGAAGATTTAGAACCCAACTACAATGATATAGTGCTCAAGTGAACAGAATTATGTAGAAGAATGAAATTGTGTGATGTCTTCTTCTTCTTCTTCTTCCTATTCTTTTATTTATTTTTTAATTAATTAATTTATTTTTATTTTATTTTTTGTAACCAGATAATGATCACTTTATATTGAATCCAAATTTGTTTATGCATAGCATTGCTTGCAAGGTGTTTGGCATTACCAGCTGTTCATAAACTTCCAGATGCATAAATCATCCTGATTTTCAAGTCTTCATAAAACTTGTGCCACATATTTTTCATATTGCTGTCTTCATTTTTTCCCACTGTTTTTGTGATCATGAAACAATTTTCATAAAATAGTTACTCGACTCTTGCACAACCTCTCTTATTATCTTGGCATCATTGAAGAAAATATTGAGTACACTTGTACTTGATGCTGCAGTGCAGTGTAGTGCATTCTATTATTATTATTATTATCAGCTTGTCATATTCATTGACTCCAACCCTCTGCATTTTAGCTGTTGGAAGGACATATCTTAGATTTGATAGCTATAATGGCCAATTGTTAAAAGCTAAAATGGAAATCCTAGCCAATGTTAAGGACTTCGATTGTAATTGAGCACCAAAAGATTCTTTTGAGAAAAGATATCCCATTAGTGTTTTTCTGCTAGTTGTTTTGTGTATGATATGATATTGTTAACTAATAGAATATGTTGAATGTTAACTGTTGACTTGTAGACTCACTGAAGAATATCCAACTTGATTTTTGTTTAATTCTTCAAAAAACATAGTTCAAGGTCAACAATAGTGTTAGATCGGACTCTTTTCTTTTGTTTTTCTTCCCGTTCTTTCCTTTCTTGTCCCATGGTCTGTCATATATCATTCCTCTCCCTCCTCTCATATGACACCTATACAGCTCCTCTTGCCGTGAGGGATTAGTCTATTTACAGTGATTTTTTTTCTCTCAATACTAATTTAAGTAGTCTATTGTTAATTGTTAGTAATTGCTTTTGTTCCTAACATAAAGTTTGGCTATAGTGATGGATCAATACACATCATTGGTTTAATGATTTCATTAATAACATCGTAATTGTTCTCAGCTTAGCTGTCTTAAAAAATGACAATGTCTCTCCTCAGTCTCATACTCAACTATATAGCATTTTCCCCTAAATTTTCTACCCCATTTTCATTTTCATTTTTTTTTTTTGAGAGTTTCCATAGATCATAACTTAATGGTGATTCGTTGCCTTTAGAACTTGTGTTTAGAACTTTATGTTTTTAGACTGTTCGAGGGAGATGAGTTTTAAATTTTACTTCCCCGCGAAGGAGAGAAAGATGCGACGGATGAAAGGTGCTTGTCCACTAGGTGTTGGGGTTGGGTTTGGCCATGCACAGTAGTGTCATGGTGGACTGTGTCTATGAGGTTGGTAAGTCACCCAACATGGGTGTTTGGGGATGTGGCTGTTGGGTTTTTTTTTAGAGGTGCTTGATAGCCATGTTGGCCCATGAGCCTATTGGTTGGTGGTGGCATGTGAGGTGTAGGAGGAAGTGAGAAGAAGGGAAAGGGAGAGTGGGTATGCTGCTGTAGAAAGGAGGAGGGATAGGGAATGAAGAAGAAAAGAATAGAAAAAAGAAAATTAAAAAAGGGGCAAAAGTGTCATTATATATATTTCTTAGATTCACACGCTCAATTTAGTGTGTTGTACACACACGGTTAACTTAACCATAATTTGCAACGTGTGCACTTCACTCCAAATTTCAAGAGGGTTAATGTGTATATTTTTAAACATAAAGGAAGTAAAGTGTTTTTGGACAAAACCATATAAAATGTAATTAATCCAAACTGTTTTTGGAGGTCTAATTGTGTTTTTATTTCAATATCTATTCATATGTGTTTGTGTTTGTTTTTATGTTTGCTCGCATGTGTGTGTTTTGACCTTTTTACCTCGTTGAGGTTAAAAATAAAACATGAACATATTTAGATTTCGATGAAAATGTTAACTCCTGTAAAAACCGTGGGCTGATTAGTTTGTGTCAAACATGTCCTGTGATTCTCTCTGGTTCTTGTTGGTATTCGTACTAGTGATACATGGTATTCCTGCAATCTTTCGTCATCTTCTGTTATCCGTGTTGGTTATCATCAAGGATCACTTCAACTTTTTGAAGTTTTGGATTGTTATATGCATCTCTACTAAATTGGTTTATAAAATAAAATTATTCAAATATCAGTTTAGATGTAATTGATAATATATTAATGTTTTTTTTTTCATTATTTTCTTTGCAGATTGGTTTTTGATGACATCTGGAAGCATTCTTGCAAATGAAGATCAAGTGTTCAATTTTTTTTTTCCTGAACTGATACTTAGTTTTAGTTGCAAATCAAGATCGAGTGTTAATTTTTTTTTTTTTGTGGACTCCATGTTAGTTTATTTTGGAATTTGCTTTGATGGTTTTTTTTTGATTTGCTTTGATGATTTTTTTTTGTTATACTTAATGGATTATTATTAAAGTTATTTGATGGATATATTTTGAGTTATAATATAATTGTTTAGTGAATTTTTTTGTGGAGTGGTGTATAATAACTAATGGATTTCTTACTACATTTAAAAAGCTATTAGGATATGAGCAGGGATATTTCTGAAATAATAATTTAAATTGAAATATAAAATATGGAAAAAGTTTAGTGACGAATTTTTTTTGTCATCTGTACTTATTATTATGACAAAGTGATTATTCGTCGCTAATAAATATTTTTTGTGACAAAATTTATTGCAAGTTATATATGAAAGTTTTCATTGATTTTGATGTTTGGTGACTAAAAATTTCGTCACATATATATATTTTTGCCACGAAATATATTTCGTCACCCATGTATGATGTTTGGAGACGAAAAATTTCGTCAACTTTACATCTTACTGTGACGAAATTATTTCCTCATCAATGATTAACATGTGTGACAAATTTATTCGTCAACTAAAGTTATAAATGTGGTACTGAATAACTATTTGGTGACGAAAATGAGGATTTTTAATGACAAAATGTTATTTTATTGGTGACAAAATATTTCGTCACTAAAGTAATTTCATTGGTGACGAAATTATTTTTCGTCACGATGCTTTTTAGTGACAAACATTCAATGATGAACCCGGTGACAAAAATATTTCCTCACAAATATCTATAGTGACGAAATTAGCTCTTTGGAGACAAAAAAAATTCGTCATCCAAGACCCAACTTGTTATAGTGTAAACAGTAATGCTTTTTGTCAACGTTTTCAACAGTAATAATTGAAACCCCTTTTCAATTTCAATTCATTTACACCACCAAAACAATCAAGATCTAATTCCTTGGTAAACAACAATACAAACATTTTAAACATCAGATTTTATTCAATTAAGACTAATACATCATCTATAATCCAAAAAAAAATAAGGCCAAATCTCACCTAATTTAAACATCATCTATTAAATAATTAAGACTAATACATCATCTATCATCAGATTAAACATCATATTTTAATGGACAAATCTCTAGATTATAAAAAAAAACATATACTCAATCAATTTGTTACACACCAAATCTCACCTAGTTTATAATCCAAAAAATAAGAGAGTTCTTTTACTCTTCTTCATTTCTAATCATTTCTTACTAAATCACCCAATCCAAACAGACAATTAGAAACAGGAACAATCAATCATATATATATATATATATATTCATAAATTTTGACGAAGAAATCATACTACAAGTGAGATAGTGAGTGTATGTACGTCTAATCAGATTCTATACACACAAGTGAGATAGTAAGTGTGCATCATGTGCTATTTCATCCATAACCAATGGAAAGAACTCAAGAATGTATCCAAATGTAAACTACTTTATCTCACCTTCAGGCTTATGCGCAATGAATTTATAGACGTTTCAATTAAGCATTTTTCAGCCTCATTTCGACATATTAAAACCTGAGAGAGGAAGTGCCAAAATTTGGATTAGGGGATTGCCAAGAAATAAAACCTAACAGTGAGTGTGCATCATGTGCTATTTCATCCATAACCAATGGAAAGAACTCAAGAATGTATCCAAATGTAAACTACTTTATCTTACCTTCAGGCTTATGCGCAATGAATTTATAGACGTTTCAATTAAGCATTTTTCAGCCTCATTTCGACATATTAAAACCTGAGAGAGGAAGTGCCAAAATTTGGATTAGGTTCATGGACAGCAATCAAATCGTTAAAAACCATATTGAATTAAATATAATGAAGAGCCACCAAATATAGATAAGTTTAAGCTATATAAACTTCGAATTGCAAGAGGTACTGAAATATAGGAAGTTAAGAGTTGGGGCTGGAGTGAAATACAAACAATTAAAAAAAAAAAAAACTACGATTGGCAATCCATAACATGTTACATAACCAAATCAATAGAAATTTTCATTGAAGAGCTATAGACACAACACAATTCAAAATACCTCACAAGCTCCTGTCTCTCTATGAATCTTTGCTGCTTGAGATCATAGAGTTGAAATGAAACTGCAAGGGAGAAAAATTTAGGTTAATTGAATAGAAATCAAATCAAAATCAAAACCCTAGAAATCAAAATATGAAACCCCATTGAATCATTGGATGCTACTTTATTGCAGTTGAGCTTGACTTGTTTTGATTTGATCAAACTTGTTAGGTAGATAAGTTAAGGTTGAACATATTCCTAAACATGAACTCAACTCGAACTCCGCTTGTGTCCTGCTTAGCATTTAATTTTTAAACAAGTGGTCTCAAGTTCAGAAAATTAAATTCTGAGTTTTTTTTTTAAAACAAAAAAAAATTAAATTGAGAAAATGGAAAAAGGAAAAATGGCAGAGAGAAAAGAAAATGATCAAAAGGCAACAACACTTGTCTTTGTGACAGCATAACTTCTGCTTCTAGGATACACCAACAACTCCTTCCTAACATTAACACCGTTGTAATTGTTATCCCCAAACTCACAAGGCCTCTCTTCATCAATCCTCCCCATCCCAACACTACAGCTCCTTGGCACCACTCCCGCCGCCGTGGACCGCCTCATCTACGTAATTATAAGATTCCATGTGCTCGTAGAAAATTCTTACAAGCAAAGGGTGACATGAGCAAACTTTGTATGACTTTTTGGTTTATAATAATTTAATAAAATTGAGTAGGATTGGATTATCAGCTTAATAAATAATTTATCACATGATGCATTCATGCTTGTTGAGACAGACTTGTTCATGTTTGACCTTATTATTAACTAATAGATAGCAATTATAAGAGTAACTAGTACTTCAAGCACACACTTCATCCCCTAATTTGCGAACTCTTATTAATGAATTTATTATAGTCAGTCCAATAATTTTCAAGAAATTACATTAATTTTCTTTACAATAAATCTGTGTACAATGATTCTTCATGACAAAGTCAAGACATATACAAGTCCCTACAAATTGATTCTATTCCATTCCCACCTAGTTCTTCAACATATTGTTTCTATCATCCTCACCATGAACTCTTCAACAACTTCCTTCAAGTTCTACAAATTTTCATTAGATAATTTTTCTGTGAACCTCTGCAAAATTCTTGGAATTTCAAGACTAGTCCTCTACTTAGCAAAATTTCAGGAATTTCATCAGTTAATTAACTAACCAGACCGAAAGGCAAATCAAGAGGTTGTTGTGACTTGGACACAACAGACAGCGCCAAATGGGTACAGATAGAGAGAGAGAGCAACAAATTGAAGCTTTAAAGTACAATTACATTGAAGTGAACGCCAAACAGAATTGATGAATATCATTTTCCGAATATCTAGTCACAAATAGTAATCCTCTACACACAAAATACAACTAATTGAGATTCCATCAAGAAGCATGAACATGAAACAGGAAAACTAGAGTGGAATTTAATTGAGATTCCATCAACAAATTATTATACAGCAAATTGCTCAAACAACGAAATTCTTAAATAAAATGCACTGGTTTCATTATCTGACCAAACTCGACGGAAAGGAAGAGCTTGAGAGAGAGAGAAAGAGAATATGAAACTGTGAGAGAGAGAGAGAGAGAGAGAGAGAGAGACGGTAGTGCTCACCTTAGTAAACGATGGTGCTCGCTCCCCTCGCCGGTGCAGATGGTGGAGGCGGTGGAGCTTCGAATTCTCAAAATCAAATTGCCAATCGCTCTGAGATTGGATCAAACGAGGCTGAAGAAGGTTGATTCGATCGGTTGAGAGAGATTAGGGTTTAGAGAGGGTTGAGAGAGAGAGATCGAGACCCAGAGAGTGAGTGAGAGAGTAAACGGGGCAATGTTTTTCAATTTAATTGAGTAAGTTTTTAAATATTTTAAATAATTTTTTTTATACTTTTTAAATTCAAATAATTTACATATATTTAAAAGAAAAATATTTTTTAATTTTTTTAAAAAATCACTAAATTCAAAAAAATATAAAATTTAATACATTTCATATATATTATATTTTATTATATTTTTTTACAAATATTTTATTTTTTAGTTGTATTCAGATTAGGCACATCTAAAAAGTAAAAAATAAAAAATTATTAAAAGAAGGGAAAATATCAAATGAATGGAATTTAAAAAAAATAATTACAAATTAATGGGAAGTCATATAAATATTAATTATTAAAATTATAAACTTTTTCATGAATATGTAATTTTTTTTCTCAAAATCTCACTGGGTGTAATTATCCCTTAAAAGAGACACTAAATTATAAAACAACATATATATTATTTTTTACGTTGTCCTCAATTAGGAAAATGTAAGGTGAGAAGCTTGGTTGGAAATTGTTAGCTTTCTTAAATAAAAAAAAAAAAAAACGGATTAAAATTTTTTTAATAAATGTTTTCACAACATACTAATGCATGTCGTGTAAAGTTATAATATTTTACGACATGAAATGTATGTCGTCTTAAGTACAAATATTTTATGACATATTTTTGTATGCTGTGAAAATATATATTTTTTACGGTATGCTTTTGCATGCCATAAAAAAATTCCGGATTGAATTTTTTTTTTTTTTTTTGCAAAAGTTTTCACAATATGTTAATGCATGCCGTGTAAAGTTATAATATTTTATAACATGAAATGTATGTCGTCTTAAGTGGAAATATTTTACGACATATTTTTGTAAGTCGTAAAAACACACATTTTTTACGGCATACTTTTGCATACTATAAATATATGAATCAATGACTTACATGGTATGTATGCTGTTATTAACAAAACATTAACGGCTTGCCAAAAAAAAAATGCCGTAGAATGTGCTAACTACGACATGCATTTAATGCATGTCGTAAACACGATGCCGTGAATAATTAGTTTTGTTGTAGTGTAACATGTTAGTCTCACATAATGGATGAGTTTTTTTTATTATTTTTTTTCAAACAGAACAAAAAGATGTTCTGTGGTGTTATTACGACATCTGTGAGCCTAGGTTTCGGATAATCGGTTGCCAGCTGACCCAACCACATAATGGATGAGTTTGTTCGTGTACTTTTCTTTGTAAAGGTTTTTTTTTTTATTGATAATTGAGAATTAATCTTAGACAATCGTTCTTTGGCCCCAATAGCACAATTCAAAATATGTGCAACCACCTGCAAATCTTACATATCGGGCGAAGTAGGATATAAGGACTAATAGAACGTGGGCGACTTACCTAATTCTCACTGTTCTTTGCACATAGCATTATTAAAACTAGTGTTTTTTTATTTTTATTTTTTTATCGGTAAAAAAAAATATTATTAAAACTACTGTTTGATGAAACAAAGACAGAAAGACAGTTCGATGGAGAGAAATTCAAACTAAAATATGAGTACTCTAGATGACACTTAGCAAATAAGTGCATCTTTGCTCATTATCATTTACAAGCAAACTAAGTACGTGTCTACAACAAGAAGCATACTAAGAAAGATAAAGAGCAGTAGCACTCCCCACTAGCAGTAACAACAACTGATCAATATCACATATGATCAGCTAGCAACAGCTCTTATTTCCAACAATGGAACAGCTACATATATATGATGTATGCCCAACAAAGTCACTCAGTTGGAGCTGATAGGTGATGGAGGCTTGTGGGGAACACTTGGAGGCTTCTTCTCAGGAGTTGGTGGTTTCTTATATGGAGTTGGAGGCATCATCTTCTTGGGTAGCTTGACTTCTGCTTCACCACTCTTCATTGGAGGGTGGCCTGGATAGTGACCATGAGTTGGTGGCTTCTCTCCCTTAGGCGGCTTGTGTTCCATTGGTGGCTTCTCACCCATGGGTGGCTTGTGCTCCATTGGAGGCTTCTCACCCATGGGAGGCTTGTGTTCCATTGGTGGCTTCTCATCCATGGGTGGCTTGTGCTCCATTGGTGGCTTCTCACCCATAGGAGGCTTTTGCTCCATTGGAGGCTTCTCACCCATTGGTGGCTTGTGCTCCATTGGAGGCTTCTCACCCATTGGTGGCTTGTGTTGCATTGGTAGCTTCTCACCCATGGGAGGCTTGTGCACCATTGGTGGCTTCTCTCCCATAGGTGGCTTGTGTTCCATTGCTGGCTTTTCACCCATGGGAGGCTTGTGCTCTACTGGTGGCTTGTGTTCCATTGGTGGCTTCTCACCTTTAGATGGTGGTTTGGGGAAGCCAGCGACGGAGGGAGTGGTGGTGGTGAGAACCACCGCCACACAAAGGAACAAGACTAGCAAGTGTGTGGGAGACATATTTCCTTTGCTTTGGGCACTCTGGATTTTTTGGTGATGCAAAACTAGGCCATTTGGGGTGGCCTTTTATAAGGGTTTGTAGCCATTGTCGGCAGGACACGCGTCATTACTTTGTGAATTTTGCTTTGGTATGTGGTGTGTGGTAATTGTAGCACAGTACTGTGAATGTCAAATTGATGTCGTGATGGTTAGTAGAAAATATCGAATGCGAAATTTTTCTTTAGTATATTGCCTTTAAATGTGATTGGCTCCTCTGGGACCCTCCAAGCTGATAAGTTTGACAAATTCTACAAATTAAAGCGATGTCCGTCCAAATATGATCAAGAAAAAGTTAGGTAGTCTGGAAGAGATTGTGATACTTTGTAATGATTTTTTTTTTTAAATTTAAAATAATAATAATAAATTAATTTGATCATCTCACAATTCTTAAATGTTACAATGGAGATCTTTCATTACAATCATAATATGAAAGATCCCATCCGTCCGTGCAGAAGATACTTCAAAAAATAATAGCACTATTATAATTTTAAAAATTTTATCTCAAAACATTAATATATAATCCATATTCATTTTAGACTTTATATCAATTTAATCTCTTTCACATATGCCCATTGATACACTAGTAATTTTGAAAAAATAAAGTATATAGTGCATATCAATAATACTAGAATAACTATATTTTATTTATTATCTAATTTTATACATCACACCATTAATGTAAAAAGCTCTACATAAATCTCATTAATATTTAACCACTGTGAGTATATCATATCAAGTGATACAAAAGGAAAATGATTTGTACCCCCATGGGGAGACCCCCAGACCCAGTGGGAGCTGATTGGCCCAGTAATTTTTTTTTTTAATGACCAATCTCTACGTATGTGTAGGGAGGGGTGGGAAAACAGTGGGCGTCTCCAGTACCACTGGATACAAAAATATGATGACAATAGAATTATTCGATGTATGTTAAAATATAATGTAATGATTACACTTAAAATTTTTAGTATTTTATCATATTTTATTAAGATATATTACAAATACACTCTTTAAAATTTGTTTAAAATAGAGATTGTCCTCCAATAGTTTTGAAAATTAAAAATGTCCTCTTTTGTCATAATTTTTTATTTAACAAAAAAATATTTTTCTATATAACAATAAAATTACCTTAATTGTTAATTAAAATATGTTCCTAACGACATTAAAAATTATTAATTGACTTGATAATTTAATAATATAATGAATCGTTTGTTATGCAACTATTAAAAATTTAAAAAGACATGATATAATTTTAAAAATTATATAAAATAATATGTAGTTTAAATTTTTTTTAAAGAGTGTTTTTAATTTGCTCTTTCATTTATCATACGATACGTCACATTTATATATAATCATTCATACAATCAGTCGCTGGTTAATATGAATAGCATCTAAGAATTGTGAGTCTTTCACATAAGTGTGGACATGTTGCATTTGTCATGCACAACTTTTTATAGATAAAGTAACGTAATTTTTTATTTTTTTATTTTTTTTTTCGCGCAGCAGTAAAGCAAAATCAGACTTTATTAGTTAACTTTAATCACAATATAAAATGTTATCAAGGTTGAGAAAAGTTATAATTTGGTCATGGACCACCAAGAATCCACTAAAAAATATATGTATTGGGCACAAATCACATATCACATTTAACGTGTCATATAATATAATATCAAGTATGTATATGTTAGAACATATATATGAATTTAATCACAATTTTGTTGGACGTTAATTACAATGTCAGAAAATTTTGTTCACTCTTTATGAGCATTAACACACCGCAATTTGTTTCTTAAGAAAGTAGAGTTCGATTCTTGCTCTCAGCAACTCCAATTGACTAAGGAGAATGGGGTGCAATGGTTTGGTAAATAATACCATATTCAGAATAAAATTCTTCAAATGGTACATCATACTCACCACCCATCATGACCCAAACCCGCTCCTATAGGTTTAGCGTCGTAACCGGCCAGTAATCATGGGATTACCAAAGGTCTCTTAACAGAATGACACAAAATAAGGGGTTGCGGAAGCAAATATAGAAAATATGCAACGTCCATAGAGCTGTGTTAACGTATATGAGACAGAAAACTTCAAAACAAATTATATATATATATATATATGTGACATCATAAACACATGAGTCTTACGTCACCTAAATACACAGATAATGCCAAAAGTGAACTTAGCCCAATGTACAGATAAGCAAAACAAAGCAAAAACATTTGTAGCAAGGTTACAAAACTGAACATTTCAAAGGGAACCTCCCCAAGAGACACAGTGGCTGGCTAACCTAACACTCCAGACAGCAGCTTAGGCCTAGTCATTCACCTACTCACCTACATACATAATATAATAAAGTAAGCGGAAGCCCAGTGAATATTAACGGAGTAAAGGATTTAAATGAATGATGTCCATAACAGGTACAAAAATCAGAGTTCATATTAGAAATAGATTTATATTCACGTTCTTGTTCAATCTACATACAAAAATCAAAGTTCATGCTTCGTTATACATGGTACATTCATTAGAGTTAACTTGCTTGTTAGTCCCATACGGAACCTCCGGTACCGGGAACTTGTAATATACTTGAGCCAAGGTATTGTTACCCCCAGGCAAGGGCCATGAGACCACCGTATTATTATCCCCAAGCAAGGGCCTTGCTTATAAACCACAGTATTGTTACCCCCGGAAAAGGGCCTTGTGCTAAGAATGCCACGAATACTTGTCAAAAATTGAACAATCATTCATTGGACAGAATATAACATTTCATAAAATAAAGTATTTCTCGTCATATCATATCATATAAGAAATTACTTAGATGTAAATATAGCTTTACAAAGTTATTACTCACAGATGACTCCACTTACAGAACAGACAAATCAGATAACTTGTGGCGTGTGACCTACACACACTTAATAGTCACACATAACGAAACACACACTTGGTTGGTACTTAACTTGTTTCGTTTAATTCGTAATATGTTTCTAAGTCTTAACCTCTTATTGAGTCTTAATTATGGTCTAGGAATGCCTAGGATGTAATGTGGATGCCAAAATGCACTTTGGAATCCTTAACAACACTTGCTGAAAACAGGAGTTCCGCTCGAGCGTAAAATCTTTCACTTGAGCGAGCATTCAAACATGTGAGGGGCCGCTCGAGCAATCTGCAAACTTTAAAAAAATACTGGTTGTATGATTTTCACGCTCGACGGTCGCTCAAGCGTGAGACTTAGGTCCTCGCTCGAGCGCAACTCTTGTCGCTTGAGCGGCCTACAAATACATGAAACTTCTAGAAGCTCGCATTTCACGCTCGAGCGAACCTCAGGTCGCTCGAGCGGAAGTGTAAGATCGCAGAGTGGTCACTCGAGCGCAGATTCTATCGCTCAATCGGAAGTTCAGAGTCTGGAATTTCCAGATTGCACTCCAAAGGTCCAAACTTGAACTACACATCTTAAAACTCATATTTTTGGGTCAAAACTCTAGAAAACATTTAGAAACTTGTAAAATACCATGGTTTGAAGATCATTTCACTAAATCAAGGCTAAAAAGCATGCTAATTGACAAAACTCTAACTTGAAATTTACAAATATGCAATGAACATGACATGTATGAATTACTTTGAACTAAGGCTTTCCAAAACATAATTAATTAAGGTCAAATGGTAAGAATTATGATGAATTCTCAAAACCAAGTCAAGATAGACACATGCATGTGACAATTCTTTAGAAATCTATTCAAAATGCCATGATATATGCATGCATGCATGGAATTCATTCATTAAAGCTCAAGTCTCTTACTTAGTCACCAAAACTTCTTGAATTCTCTTCATTAACAATTTAAATACAAAGATTAAGAATCAAACACTCACCTAAGACCTTCAATTGAGCTCTAGGTTGTTTTATCTTTGAGCCTTTAAGTCAATTTCCTTTAGATGGCTAGCAATTCCCTTGTTTGATTTCAATTCTCTTAGTCTCTCTCTCTCTCTCTCTTTTCACACGTTAGAGCCAAAAGATGAGGAATTAAAGTGTGTAAAAGGTTCTAAGATTTATATTAGCCTTATATAGGCTCCACTAGTGGACTTAATTAACCTTAATTAACTTAGGCTAGACAAGGGTATTAATTAATCTAAATTGATTTGTTTTGAATCGAATTTCAATTGAACCTACCATAATGTTCTAAAAATTCCAAATAACACATATACTAAGTCAATTTCACATTCGGTTACCAATAAGGCCTTCAATTCATAAACCGAAACAGAAACACAAACAGATATTTCTACATTAGACAGATATAAACACAAATAATGCAATGCACAAGTAATTAATTCAGGATTTCATCTTAATTACTTATTAGGCGTATTAAATCATGGATTAACGTTAATTAGAGGTTGGGGTCGTTACACCACCTCTGTCACTTCTCATTATCTTAATATTTTTGCCAAGTTAATTTTTAACCTCAAGTTTATATTGCTTAAAAACTTCTAAGGCTTCATCTTTACTTCTCAATAAGTAAACATAGCAATATCGAGTGCAATCATCAATAAAAGTAATAAAGTACTTTGTACCTCCTCTAATTTGAATAAATTTTAAATCACAGATATCTGTGTGAATTAAACTTAAAGGTTCAATCTTTCTTTCTACTTTATTAAATGATGTCTTAGTGAGTTTTGCCTACACAAATATCACATTTATGATTAGGATCAAACTCTAAGTTTGGCAAACATTCTAAAGAAACAAGTCTATGCAAAGAATTAAAATTAACATGTCTTAATCTACCATGCCATAAAAAAGAAGATTCAACAATATAAACAGAAAATGTGTTCTTATTATTAAAAGCCAATTTTGGTATAACAGTTAGTACATTGAGCTTAACAAGCCCATCACTCATATAACCTCGCCTCACATACATTCTACTCTTGGAGAGTACAACATTGTCAGATTCAAAGACTAATTTAAACTCATTCTTGATTAACAATGACCTAGAAATTAAATTCTTACGAATCTTCGACACATGGAGTACATTGT